CGCTTTGTACGCTGGCCTTCCTTCATTCTTTTCCTTTGCTCCCAGCAACACTGTCTCTCGTTGGCCCCGCGGCCTGATACCAGACGTACTAGTCTCTACTTGCCTGCACTTTCGCTACCCATATCCACATTCCTTCGAGTATCGCACTGGTCATATACCGTTGACCTATACTGAGACATTCTTTTGACTGCACTCCATTCGACTGCTAGCACCAAGTGCCCTATTGTCATTTGCTCTTTCTTTCGTCTCGCACACCCCATAACACTAAACCGTGTCCGTTTGACAGGTGAAAACGAGTCACGCCCCAGAACTATCGAAGTCGAAGACACGGAGGAAATGAGATCTCAGAGTAATATGTCTGATCGCCTGGCCGTTGAAGTCGACTGCCACTCACTCGGCTCCAACGAATGTCCGTCTATGGGGTCCAGCTTCTCGCCTTTGGAGTCACCCACACCTACCCCTACGAGCATCTACAGCCAGGGTTCACTTGCTTCCCCGAGCTGGCCAGAGAACGGGTCATATCCTGGTCACGCTTACGAGAGAGGTACCGGATCAACACCCATACGCGGCCACTTCCGTCTCGCCAGTATGCCCTCGCACGAGAACATGGGTCTACCACCGTACAGCAGCCTGGATGGACAGGATCGCATGGCGGTGACAGATTTTCTGCCCTCGTATGACGAGAACGCCGATCAGTTCTGGCTCCCCTCGGATGTTCCCAAGACCTACGATCACCATGTCCATGGACTCCCATGCCCGCCGGCCATGCACCAATATCCACCCATGCTGCGCAGCAACTACCGCCACCACCCTGCTCCGTATCTCCCCGAGTCGGCGACCAATCCGTGCCTGTCGCGCCCCATCTTCCATCATCAACCCGAGCGCCTGCCACCATCGTTGTCCATGAGCCACATGATGCCCTGGATGGGTCATGCGGAATCGATTGCGCCTGAGACCATTGCTCCGTCCCAAGTTGCACCTGTAACGCCGCCTCCGTCCTACACGGATTTCTCCAACTCCATAAACACCTTCAAGACACACTCGCCTGCCACGCCCATCCGCTCGTGCTCGTTGGGCACTGGCTCTGGAGCGGACACGCCCCTGAGCCGTCTCTCTGGCGGTGCCGGTGACTACATGGATGAATATCACCAGTCGCCTGTCTACCGAGATGCGACTGGCGTTCGTCTGCAGCGGCAGCCATCCCGCAAGATGGCGCGGAAGCAGTCTTCCAAGCAGAGCCTATCGCTAGAGAATCTGCCGTCCATCATCAAGCAGGTGCAGTTCAAGTGCAAAGAACCTGGCTGCAAGGGTCGCTTCAAGCGACAGGAACACCTCAAGCGCCACATGAAGAGCCACTCCAAGGAGAAACCTCATGTCTGCTGGGTTCCCGGCTGCCATCGAGCCTTCTCGCGCAGCGACAACCTCAATGCTCACTACACTAAGACCCACAGCAAACGCGGAGGCCGCAACCGATATGTGGCAACCTTGGATGAGACCAGCCCTGACTACAATCCGGACTACCGGGGGCCACTCACTGCCGACGGTCGCCCCATGCCGGGTGGGACGCTGGACGAGTCCATGCCTTCCCGCGAGATCAGCATGGAATGGGATGAGTAAAAAGAAAAAGAAAAAACAGAGAGAAAGAAAAAACCCCCCCGCAAAAAAAAGTACCCTAAAAACGAAACGGAAGGTACAGACGGACTACAAAGAGATTAATGGGTGGATCGGAACCATGATACCCTTGTGACGCAGTCGACACAAAGAATTTCCTTGAGTATTTTAGATGGGCACAGACATATAGGGTCCAAGAGACCCCGGTCGGCGCTTCGCGGCGTTATTTTCTTACCTTCATTTTTCCTGTTGTATAACACGCGCCGTGGGTTCCATTTCCTCAATTGGAAGTTGCATATTGATCATTATGTGTTTCTATCTCTATAATATGTCCTGTGGAGAGGCACGGCTGTCTTATTTTTGTTCTGTTTTGTTCTTTACTACGAATCGAGGCTGGGATAACTACAGCATGATTTGGACGAGATTTGGAACGGGGTATACTATGTGTTGGGACTGAGTGATTGGTTTGTTTGCGATCTGACTGATCTATTGACTGGCAACATACGATATGAGATAATAATACTACCTAGACATGGCTTTACTGCTTGTTTCCAAAAATAAGACGACTTTGTCTGGTGTCGGGGTCTCAAATCAGAGTAATCCTCTTAGCCTTGGGGTTTAGGAAGTTATGGTTCATGATCTACAGGCCTTAGCGTATCATCATATTGGATCAATCCGAAACCCTCTTCCTCATCCCATGATTTGACAACGCGACTACTTTAGTCTCTAAGGCAGACTGCGAAGACGATCCGATCGACAACTGACAAGGACAAGTGGCAGGGAATTCCCGGTTAGGGGACAAAGCGGCGAGGAAAGAAAGATTTTCGAAGGATGTGTGGAAGGTGGACACATCACATTACATTCAGGGCATGTATTTGGCTCGGAGCAGAATTAGAGGAATAGAGGTCATCTGAGAAATCACTTCGCCAAGTGTTGGTGTACTTGCATTTGATCTACGTGTTTTGTACAGAGTAAAGAGTCTATCTCATACCATTCATGTGTGCAGATACCTTAGTATCATCCAGCACCCAAGGCATTCATGGAACATGACTATGAGCATGGACTGAATGGATGTCTTGCGTGGTATGCAATAGTCTAGGTAGCAGTAAGCACCTAAGTCCATATAAGCCATCAGCTCTCTCCACATTCCAGCAATGGCAATGCTCCTATTGGCGGCATCTAGAGCCTGACGATCTCCCGACAATGTATTCCCTAGGTACAGTGCACTCCATACTTACGTAGTACTACCTAGGTATTCATGTGTGGCTCTTGGGCAGCTGTCAGCATACCTCAGACTCAGTATGCAGATTGCAGATTGCAGATTGCAGCCCAGCTATCTTTGTACTACTCTCCCACTAGTGCTCAGTGCTCATGCTGTGGATACTATAAACAGCCTCAGTAAATAATGTAGTTAGGAACCTGAAATGCTGATCAGCTGGAGGTTACATGGCAAAGTCCCATACCACTAGTAAAATTCCAGATTCCAGAAACCGGGAAATGACCTGAGCTTAATGTCAAGGGCTTGTGACGATAGGTCCGCGGGCTAGACTTGCCTTAGTTTGCATGCCAAGGGCCGTATATAAGGTGAGTGGTTTTGTTGTAGGTGAGGTGAGGTGAGGTGCTCACGCCAGACTGATTCGCTGATGAGTTTACTACATAGAGTATGTTCTAACTGATGACTACCTCAGTTGGAATTATGGATGTTTGGTTCTGTGGTTGCAAAGTACTATGCTTTGAGCTGTATCTGATAGCAAGTTCCCCACTTTTTGGGTTGAGTTTGGATGTGCATGTCCGAAGCTGGCATGGCATGCACAATACGGTACTCTGCAATGCTTGGCTTATTCCAGGCCTGAGTGCTTCCGAAAGCTGACCGCTCGTTAGGATCTCGCCAGAACTGTTGATTTAGTTGTCTATTCGGATCGTGAGCGGGATTCGGTGACTCGAGGGAAGACAGGTACGGCCTGGGCATGATCTCTCTCACAGGGTTTTATTCTTATACCTCCATGGATGGGTGCTTCTGAGCTGTGCATGAACAGAGTACGACTCACATCTCGTTCAAGACTTATACAAGCCATTCAGTGTTTGGTTGGGATGGGACATCATCTGTGATCTACATGCCTGGCACTGCACTACCTGACTGGCCTACTGTAGGTTCATTAGTTATGTTCCACAGCGGTGACTAAGGGTTAGGTATCAGCCATCTCATCTTCCTCGTCGCTATGACCATTGGTGCATGAAGTATGGTCTGGCGACATATTCGAGGCTGTCGACAGTGTTCAAGAAAGGAGAGCACAATTGAAGCTCATACTTGGCAATTGATCCAATCATGCAATCTTCATAGGTTGCACACTCAATTGGAGCTCTCATGCTTTTTTGAAAGCAATAATAGCAGGATAGCTGGAAGAGTCACTATATACCTCTCCATAAACCAAGTTACTGTGTAGTCAGTTGACAATGTGACACAATGCCCTGCCCTCTGCTCTCACCAAATCCACTAGCACACCATGTTTGAGTATCATTAGCCAAATATCGCAGCAATGGCTTCCACTAAGCAGCTTGTTGACCAAGGCAGAGACTTCAAAAAGAAGGTCACACTGAAGAAAGATATACTGTACGTGATATCATATGCTTTACACTAGACTATTGGCTCAGAACTTGGAATGGAAAGTGCACTGAGAGTTGAGGATCAGTCTCAGATGGCGGTCAGTATTGAGGTTTCGTGGTGGGTTTGACTGTAGTCTCAAGAATGTGATATCCTGCACTCTGTACCTGCACTTGGCTGGTGCAATATGTCTAGAGCACGGAGTACTGGAGTCGATTAAAGTAAAAGTGGATGTGGTTGGGTTTTCATTTGTGTTGAGTTCTGCGGTCTGTACTCCGTACAGCCAGATAGTTTGGAGTCTTGGGGCTAGCGCTGATTCATAAAATAGTTAGTTAACTAGTTATGTAATTCATGGTTAGTCATAGGCATTAAAATCACATGATCATAAGCTAGAGGCACTAGTTTAAATGCCACCACACAACATCCTCTTCCCTGTTTTTCGTCAACAACACTGAATGTAGCTCAGGTATGAGCATGCAAGTATATGCAACACAAAAACACCACAATTACTATTCCCAAATCTATCAGATCACCCCACAGATGGAATTCTGCCTGTGGGCTCTGATGTCGGGCTCATGATGACTATTCCATCAACCATTTTCCCAGACAATGATGACAATCTCTCCTTTGGCACGAGGCAGCGAAAACTGCAGTGGGTGACCAAATACCAAATCAAGCTCAACAGTCTGAGTCTGGATGAATCTGTTCATTACTCTACTTGCAAGATAGTACTGCGACACTTATTTCTTGATGATGCAGTCCATGATTGCACAACCCCTTGACAAAATCAAGTAAGATCTAGTCCGAGAAATAGAGTCCCCTCCAGAGGCGTCTCATAGTAGGCTTGTATCTCAATAAACCCAGCACGTCTATAAAGTTGCTGCGCCCCAGTCATGGATGGCAGAGTATCGAGTCTCATTTCTCGATAACCCAGATCCTTGGCCCTCTGGATGATTGCATCCACGAGTGCCTTTCCGAGACCCATACCCCGTGCTTCAGGAGACACATACAGCCGCTTCATCTCGCAGCAAAATCTGACTTGGTTTTGCGATTGCGCGGCTTCGTGCCCTTTGTGGACGAGTGGACGAACGGCCACGCAGCCAAGGGCAATTTTGGGATTAATTCCGTAAGCTAGCAGCAACGCTCCGTGCGGAGAGCCGTACTGGCCAGGTAGGTCCTGTAGTTCGGATTCGAAGCTCTGGAAGGTGAGGTCGATACCGAGCGACTCAGCATAAGCTGTGAATAAGGTCCTAGCTGTTGCCAAGTCCTCGGCACTTTGAGCTGGGACGATCTGGAAGCTTGGGGGAGCCATAAGGTGTAAGTTCAGGCCGTAAGTTCAGGTATCCTGCTTCCAGATTTGAAGCCTGGATCCTGGACTCAAGAATGATAGCCGAGAGAGGTTTGGCTGGTTACTGCTCTGTCATACTGTCCGAGCCAGATGCGAGTTGATAATGTCCCTGAGCCGGTATCGGATCGCCCTATGACTCAGTTTGAGATGAGCTAGTTGGCAAGGTAGATAATCCACGCGATAGACGCGGACATTATCGCAGCCAGCCAGAGGTAACATAGGACAGATTATTATCTAGAACTAAGCTGTGGGATTGAAGATGATGCAAAAATGCTAGCGAGCCTCAGGCCACCAGGCCAGCATCACTTGCATTCAAGGTTGACTTGACTCAGTTCCGTAAACAATCCGACTATAGATCGTCATCAATTTCGGTAGTCTGATTATCTCAATGTTTGTCAGTTCCAAAATCATTTCGGCTACAATTTTGATATGTCGTCGTTGAATTTCACCCTCAGCCACCGCAATATCGGTTATCCATGAAGGAAGCAGACTCGAACTACTCGCTGAATGGATCATTGAAATAGACTGAACTCCTCTACGCTAGAGAACGCCGTCTTCTTCAGTCCAGCAAAGAGCTGTTTCCTCGCTCGTTTTTCTCCAATCTTTCTTACACATGGGCTGTGCTTTCACCAATTGCGGGGCCAACACTATGCTTGGCCAACAACATCCAGTGTGAATTGCACGGAACGAGCAGTCGATGCAACGTTGTGAACTTCTAATACATAGTGAAGAAGTCGGAAAAAATCCAGACAGCGATTATCAACATTATAAAGATCTCCTGGCCACTCCTTAACTGTTCTTGATTCTACCCCAAAGGTCTTCCGACGGCTAATCGACAGTCCATCAACTGTAGATTAGAACCACATCATGCGATTGGGCGGACCCCATCTGATCGACTCCCCGCCTCGACAGGGATAACAACAGAATCAAGAATAAACGGAGCTTGACGGCGACGTCCGATTGCTTGTTGCTGTGTTGATCTGTGTTCCTGAAGGAGAGGGTAATCTCCGCCGTCAAATCAGCGGCCTCTTATCAGTACATGTGCTGCTATCAACGCTTGGCGATACGAAGCGATGCTCCATAGTTAATCCAGCACTGTCGTATCTGGTGTGGCCGTCTAAACCTGGCAAAATGGCCTATATTAAGGGGGAGGTAGCTCCTTCTTCGAAATCAGCCCGTTCTCTCGCTCAACTTCTTCCATCCGTGTCAACCTGTCCGCCGTGCTCAAGATGCCCGCAACCCATTTTCCGTCGATGGGCAAGCTCGCCCTGGGTGCAATGCACTTTGCCTCTGGTTTTCGTAATCACAATCTTCAGAGCTGCCCAGGAAATATCCCTGTTAGTTGCAGCAACACGACCGCGGTGTCTGACTCTTGCTGCTTCAATTCTCCCGGAGGATCCCTCCTCTTGACTCAATTCTGGGACACCGACCCAGCCACCGGCCCTTCGAACTCCTGGACTGTCCACGGACTTTGGTATGCCTGAGCCGAATGAGAATGATGCAACATGATCACTAACAAAAGATCCAGGCCCGACAACTGTGACGGCACGTACGAGCAGTTCTGTGATCCATCTCGTGAGTTTTCGAATATCACGGAAATCCTCCAGGCGCAGGGCAGGACCGAGCTGCTGTCCTACATGCAAACCTACTGGAAGGACTACCAAGGTGATGACGAGAGCTTCTGGGAGCACGAATGGAACAAGCATGGTTCGTTTTTGCAGACTTGACAATCCCGACCAGACGGTAATGATGATATAGGCACTTGCATCAACACCATCGAGCCCAGCTGCTACACCGACTACAGGCCCCAGGAAGAGGTCGGTGATTATTTCCAGAAGGCTGTCGATCTTTTCAAGGGCCTCGATACGTACAAGGTATGCACCCATACATCGAGTTATTGGTCATAGGCTAACGGCCCAGGCTCTTGCCGCTGCCGGCATCACTCCCAGTTCGTCCAAGACATACGAATTGAGCGACATCCTGTCCGCTCTGTCTGCAATCACCGGCCATGAACCCTCGGTCAGCTGCAGTAACGGTGAGCTCAATGAAGTTTGGTACTTCTTTAATGTCAAGGGCAATCTCATCAACGGCAAATACCTGCCTACTGATCCGCGTATGTGTCTGTTCATTCCTTAGATCCATAGACCACAGCTAACCTGGAATAACTATAGTCTCATCTTCTAACTGCCCCTCCTCTGGCATCAAGTACGTGCCCAAGCCTGCCAGCAGCAGCGGTAATGCTACATGTCCATCTGGGAAGTCGGAGGGCAAGAAGGGAAATCACGTTGTTGGCCATAACTGAGCGATTTGTCGAATGGAGCGGAATGGGTGCAGATGCATGAAGTCAAAAAAGTCACTATAGGATCTCGCAACGACAGAAATATCCATAAGACCATAAGACGCCGCGATCCTTATGTCGCAGCCAGTCTGTATTTTCATTGAACGTAACCACTCGGTTGGAACGCTCATGACTTCGACCGGGTTTGCCAGACCCGAACCGCTCTACCAGCGGTTGAATCTGGCAAAAATTCGCAGATGGTACCTGGCGCGCTAATTGTGTTCCCGTACGAAAGGCCGCGCCTTCTAGGCGTGGACGGGTAGATATCCGTTTGCAATTTCACCTGCGCTCGTAGCAACATAGGCTCCAAGAGATCTGCAATTCTCCCAAGTGCCCTTGTCTGCTGTCTACCATGACTGCGGGGATATTCATCTGTAGCAGTCGGGTTTTGAGGCGGAGCAGAATGGCGCGCCAATAGTGTGTAGCATCGCTTCTTGAAACCGCCAGAGGGAAGGGATAAGTAATTTGATAGTTCCGAGCTGCCATTGCCGCGCCGCCCTAGCACACACAAGTTGTAGGAGGGTTGGTGTAGGAGGGCTGGTGTAAGAGTGGCAGACACTCAAACGTCTCATAATCCCTTCAACCGCGCATTTCTTCGTTCCTCCTCCCGCTTGGCACCAACGCGATCCAAGAAATCCATGCGGCCAAGGAACCCTTCCTTGGCTTTGCTGTGAACCTTGAGCTCGTCTTTGATGCCGGCCTGGTCCACATACGCAGCCCAATCCATCCGAGACTTTTCCACAGTGTTGATCTTCGGTCCGCTGACGTTCTCTGTCTGGCCAGTGATCTCGGCAGTGGGTTGCTTCTCCCAGCTCTTCTTGATCGCCCCGGTGGGATTAGGATCAAAACGCGAGATCTTGCGGAGGGGTCTGCGCAGCTTGAGCGCGTCTTTTGCGTTCGCAGCGTGTTCGACATCGGCGTCTGTGACGGTCTCAGCGCTCTCGCCGTTAGCCAGGAAAAGCTTCGCTTCGGCGGAGTCTTTGGGGACGATCTTCTCTTCGGTGATTGTTTCGCCAGCGAACTTGTAGGTCCGTTTGATCTTTACCATTTCCTCCGTATATTGAGGTTTGGAATCGGTCGAGGGGACCTGTTTATCGGCGGTATCGGTATCCTTGTTTTCGTCGTTCACAGGTGTGGCATCCTCTGCTTGGGTCTGCGAAGGGAGAGGGCCTGCACGAGCATCAGGGGCATTCATCTGCGCCCATAATGCATCGACGTCAACTGTAGCACCGTCAATCTTGGCCAAAGGTTTTCGCTCTTCGTGCCTGCAAGAATGAATGTCAGTCATTTGGGAGTAATGAAGGAGTCCGTAAGCAAAAGTTGAACCCACATGCGCATCCTCATTGCTCGCGTCCGGACAAAGCCCCCTGGACCACCTTCCTCATCGTCATCAAAATCCACGTCGTCCTCGTCCTCATCGCTGGCTGTGGCTTTTGACTTCTTCCCTTTTTGCTTGTTCTCCTTCCTCGCCTTCACTTTCTGGATCATGGCCTCATCGCCAGAGTCGAATTCTTTATCTTCGGCGGCTGCCTCGTTGGGCCCTGTTTTGCGCCTTTTCGCTGCTGGTTCTGTCGCCTCATCGTCGCTATCGGAGCCGGTCAAGTCGGCCTCTTCTTGATCAGGATCGAGCTGGAAATCTTCATCTTCGGCGGAGTCGTATTGCTCGTTATCAAAGTCCAACTCAGCCACAGTGGCCGTGGGATCGGATGCCATCTTGTTCTCTTATTTGAAACACGACTCTTGGGCAAAATTGAGAAGAAAGTGACGCAGATTGCGGAGGCGCGAAGCAAAAGTGTACCTTAGGATTCTGCCAGGGCGGTGTGTGCGATAACTGGCTGACCAGTTGACGGACCCTAATGACCAATCAGAGAATCTTCTCAGAAGTCAGAAGAGAGGCCAAGGAGGTTTCCATCTCTTCAACCGGAATTCCACACCATCTTCTAGTGCATATTCTCGTACTACATAAATCCGTGTTATTGGCCGTAATTATCATGCCTCAACCCGAAGATGGTCAGACTAAACGGGCCATAATGGATGCCAGAAATGCACGCGAACGGGAGAAGCGACAACAGAGACCAGAACAACGAGGTCTACAGTTTCAGAATGTCTTTCTTGGTTGGGACGTCAGAGAGAGACCGCAGTCTGTTCCACCTATGATTAGAACCGCAAGATCACCCACAGAGCAGGAGTATGCGTCCGAGAACCTGAATCTAGGTAGCCCAGAGCTCTTACATCTGGATGATGTTGAAGATATTGACTTGAGGCAGTTGGTCATCTGGAACCTCTTGATGTGGACATACTGAACCAGCGAAATGCCTTTGATTTACCCTCACAGGCTGTCTGTGATGCTCTCGTGAACGTGTTCTTCAAGTGGATCGCACCAGTATTGCCTGTGATCAATCGACACGACTTCTTGCGTCAATATCGTAATCCTCAGAACCCTCCGTCAATCCTCTTACTTCAAGCTATGCTCATGGTAGCATCAAGGTTCTATGATAATGCCCATAGCTCTGAGAATGGTGCAATCTCCCCGCGCAGCTTTTACAAAAAAGTAAAAGCTTTGTATGATGCTGGATATGAAAGAGATCCTACCACAGTCCTCCAGGCTGTAGTCCTATTGGGCATGTATTGGGATGGCCCTGATGGTAGGTATTGCTCAGCGCCTTGATCTGTATTGTGCTGACGAGCTATAGATCTCACAGAAAGTGGGATATTCTATTGGAGTCGTCTGGGAATAGCTTTAGCTCAGGAACATGGGCTTCACCAGAGGTAAAAGTCACCCGGTACCGTACTCTGGAGATCTAATTCCAATTCAATTTGCAGTGAAAGCTACGCAGTATTGTCGGCCGCGAAGAGACGTATCTGGAAGCGGATGTGGTGGACACTTTACACGCGCGATCGCTCAGTGGCTGCAGCATTTGGCCGTCCTCTTCACATCAATTCCGAAGATTGCACGGTAGAACCTCTAAAAGAAAGCGACTTTATTGAGTATGATGAGCAAAATGATAGCTCAACAGACCATACAGCAGTCCGTTTCTTTATGCAGTACGTGAAACTCTGCCAACTAATGGACCTTGGTCTTTGCTTGAAGCTCTCTTCCAGGTCGACGGAGGACGGTCGGATGAAGGGGGCTGCACAATGTGAGCTTGGTTTGAATGACTGGCTCGTCTCTTGTCCGTCTGAGCTTCAATGGAGACAGTCTCGTCATAATTTCTGGTCCGCGATACTGTACTCGACCTTCTAGTGAGTTTATCCAGGAAGACACTGGAAAGACTATGAGCTGACCTTTGGGCAGTACTATTGTGTGCCAGTTACATCTTCTGCAAACTCCCGACTCGTCAAGGGAGGCCCAAAGCTCAGCTTTTCACGCTGCCACAAGTATCGTATCCATCTTGGAAACCCTGCAATCCAAGGGCGAGCTAAAGTACACACCATCATTGATGTAAGTCTGGGCTTTTCTAGTGTTCCACTACCGGTGAACTTACCTGTTAGAATCTGCCACGCCGTTGTGTCTTTTGTCACATTGAAAAGCCAAATGGAAGCCTCAATACCGTCACTCCTGCATGCCATCCGACAGAATCTGGAAGCCAACCTAGACATGCTCGAAGTACTTTCTCATACATGGCCCATTGCGGCAATGTTTCTAGAGCTTTTTCGCACTATGACTGGCCCAGAACAGTTCGAGCGAATCTTATCAGTCGCAGCAGAGAAGTGCGGGAAGCGTGCCCGTGGGGAGGAGGACGACAGTTCCACTCCCTTAAGGTCCTCGACGCGTTTCAAAAGGCCTAAAGTACAGCAGGTGATTCTGCCACAAACTAGGGTCGTCCTTCAGATTCTGCGGAGGGAAACTCAGAAGCAGTTTAACTCGCAAGGCCCAGTCCACAACAAGCAGAATAAAAGGGTTGAAAGTATGCCATCTGGCGTCCTTCCAGATCAGAACAGTTCTACACCTATGACCGAGGTTGACCCGCTGCTTGATGACTGTGACGCTTCAACCATATTACAGAGCTTACGGAGAATAATTGACGCTGGTAAATCCACTTCCCATGATTCTCGATCAGACGATGTACCATGATTTTCCTTGAAATACGACGCAGACGCTTTATCAAAGGCCAACGTCACGTCAGTTATGCGAGCGAGTACAGGTACTCCTCGTCCACACACTTTATTTTGAATCCTTATGGAGCAATCAAGCGTGGTCCGAGATCCGATTATGGTGCTCTCTAGACATCTCCTACTTGACTTGTTCAGGTATTTGGTTCTATTCTAAACAGACCTGGATCTAAGTTCTTTCATTCGTCTGAATGGGTCATTCGGCATGCACGGCTGTCTCTTCTTGTCTCTAACACAGGATGAAATCCATATTGCTGCCGGCGTACGTCGACACATTGAACAGCCATGATCGAGATCATAGCAACTCATCTGCCTACCGACATTGCTGCTTGGACTGCTTGTTGTGCTCGCTGTGTGCTGTGAAGTACATACGCAAGAACAATACCCAAACGACACAGACATGGGTGGTGGTACAGGAAGAGGCTGTCGGCACCAAGACGGGGAATGACTGGATGTCCTCTACGAGACACAAGAGACTACAGAAAGCGGAGGCTTCATTAAACTCTCTCGGCCAAATCATGTATCCAGGCCACTTAACCGCGTGGAAGGGGCTGAATATATGGAAACCGGGTCTGACCCATGTAGAATATCAATGAATGTATGAGCTGCGACCTCCAGGAAGGAACGACTTTGATGTTCTAGCGATATCGCCTGGTAAGAGGCAGGGGGGTAATGTTTCCCAGATGAGCATTCGTAGTAGAGAGATGGAGAAACAACGGCCTGATGATTTGGCTTAATCTTGAAGCTATGCATTTCCCTTAATCGCTTTTCTCAATCATTTTGTGGTACACCGTTGTATCAATGCCCTATTCGAGCACAGAATTGGACCAATGACTTCTTCGAGGGCATGACTGTGTCCTTAAGAGGCTGGAGGATCCCAGCTCATACCACAGAGAATAAGAACCTCTCCTTTAGAATAAGAACAGGCACGCAGCAATAGATCGTTCTGGTGGTCCTGGACTTGTGGTTGATAATTAATCAATAAATCACCAGTGACCACAACGGGCCGACCCGCGCTCGGTGGTTTCGGAGTTGAGCGCTGGCAACCTACCGAGGATGTGGAGGGCAACGGCCATTTTACCGTGTGTCATAGGCTATTTGATCATGAGATGTCCTCATTTCTAATCTCAACTTACTTCATTCCCAGACGACAGAAGGATACAAAATGACATCAAACAAACCAGTCGCTCTCGTCGTGGGCGCTTCCCGCGGTATCGGCAGGCAGATTGCCATAGACCTGGCCAAGAATGGCTACAAGGGTATGTTTATCTCACAAGCACATCCTCCAAGCAAGACACTGACACTGTTCCAGTCGTCGTGGCGGCAAAGAGCACCTCCAACGCCTACGCAGCTGTTCCCTTCCCCCCGGATCCGAACTCCTCGCAATCGACCATCAACACTGTCGAGCGAGAGATCAAAGAATCCGGTGGCGAAGCGTTCGCCCTCACAGTAGACGTCCGCGACGTGAAGCAGGTTGAGAATCTGGTCCACGAGGCGGTTCGCCTGGCAGGCCGCCTCGATGTCCTGGTCTACAACTCCGGGGCTATCTGGTGGTCCTCAGTGGCGAATACGCCCACGAAGCGGTTCCAGCTCATGCAGAGGGTGAACCCAGAGGGTCTATATGCGAGTGTGCAGGCGGCATTGCCATACTTTGAGAAAAATGGGCGGAAGGGTCGGATCATTGTTGTCTCGCCGCCGATCTACTCGCGGTTCTTTCGGGGGAAGACAGCTTATGCGATGGGTATATCTTCCCTGTTCTCATCACATAAGAAATTTGTGGCTAATATTGGCGCAGGCAAGGTGGGGATGAGCGTCCTGACCAAAGGTCTAGCCATGGACTTTGTTAGACAGGGGGCAAAGGATATGGCCATTACCAGTATCTGGCCTGCAGTTGTACGTTTCTTGACGATTTGCTATTTCATGTGCTCACTCTCTTTTCAAGTCCATCGAATCAGCCGCCACCGAGGCGACTACGAATGAAGATCCTAGCCGGAAAGCTGATCTTAGGAAACCTGTGAGTAGGCCCATTCGCGCGTTGAAGACATAATGCTAAGGCGAATAGACGATCTTCTCCGACGCTATTCTGGGTATTCTGAATAGCCCCACAGACATCGTGAATGGCCAACTGGTCCTCGACGAGGACTTCTTGCGCGACCATTGCGGGGTTTCTGATTTCTCCAAGTACGCTGTTGTCCCTGGATCTCAGCCACGGCGGATCATGCCTAAGGAGTTGCCTGTCCTTGAGGTGGCAGAGCAGGATGATGAGGGTATGCGGGTGGACAGTACGAAATTGAGAAAGGCCAAGCTGTAATTCCATTTTACTTCTAGCACACAACTTATTTCTATGTTCAAGGGTTAGCAAATAGCAGATTCATATGATGTTCATACCGTTCAACATATTGAAAGCACTCTCAAGCACCTGGAAGAAAGACAGCTGTGGCTGCTCGGGTAATGCACCCGCTTCACTACTTGCGAAAGGTCATATAGGCAGCAAAATGAGTTCATAAGATCTGGCAGGTTGGGAATTGCCTTCAAGAACATTCCAAAGGAAAAGCTTCCACATAAAGCCTATCAACCTCATAAAAGCTTTATATACAAAAGATCCAAGGACAATGTTCCTGTCAATCCATCTACAACTTCGCCTTCCCCTCTGGCTTCAATCTCAAATCCTCGTGCGGCAGCTCCAAGAAATCCCACATGAAATTAAATCGGTCACTCCCAAAGAACGGCTCCGATTTACCCTCGCCATTAGTCACCCAGAACCACGGGCACCCAAACGCGCCCAGCTCTTTGACGACCCTCTCTGTCGTCGCGGTAAGCTCATTCTTGATCTCGGGGTTTGACGCCGCAGCCAGTATCTCCTCGACCTCAGCGCGTGAGAAGGCCTTCCCCAATGCCTTGGATAGATTCTCTGGCTTGGAGATATCTAGGTGGCCGTTCCACATTGTATCGAAGCAGGCGAGGAAAGCCGGGACGAGTTTGTGGGCGTGCTGGCGCTTGATGTATGTGAGTGCTCGTTGGGGCTGTTCCCGTCAGTTATTGATACTTTTCTTTCAATTGCAGGACAGAGATAGGGGACTGTACCAGAAGCGAGAGGATAGGAAAGAACGCCGGTACTTCAAAGTCGTGACCGAAGTACTTTTGGGCCCGTTTACCGTCGTACGCGGAGTAGGCGGCTTTGGCGGGGAGAGTCCATGGAGGTTTATTTCCTTTTTACTGGTTAGATTACTTTGTCAGATTAGGGAATGTTTGGAATAAGCGTACCGCTTCCTACGTTGATGCCTCCCAGAAAGACGGGGATGTATCTGGACCATGTGAGATTGTGTTCGCGGTGGAGAGTGGAGGGCCTCGTACTCGATCTCTACGCCTAGCGAGGCGAGCGCGTCCGCATTCTGCTGGAGATACGTGAAAGCGTAGAAGCTGTAGGGTGACACTATTTGGATTTGTTAGCATTGATGAAGGGTTGATGAGAGATGGCCGGGGACGAACCGCAGTCAAGGTAACATTCGATTTTCTTGCCCATGGTGTATGATGTTGTTCACTTCCACTAACATGAAATTCAGATGATACAATTTCAATTATTGCATGAATGATTTCTTGCCTATTAGCTGTGACTTTAAATCATGATGAGCATGTGGGGAGCCGAGGATGATGGCTTAGTTACCCCAGACGACGTTATATCCGACCCGCCGTCGGCTTCTTGAATCTTATGCATTCGGTAAATTGGAAAAAAAGAGGCGAAAATCGATATGAATTCAAATCAAATATTTTAAAAAAGTCCAAATTTCACATTCAATCGTGGCTTACCAGAATGACAATGGGAGATCCTATAGAACTGCACAGCAGAACGACACTCAGTCAAGTCAACTTGAGCATATCACACCCCATTTGAATTCTTCGTCAAAGCATTCACCTTCTCCAGTTGCACCTCATAACTCCTCTGCCTGGACACGTTCCGCTCAAGCCAGACTGCAAGTACACCCACCGTACCCCCGACAACCTCCAGCCCTATCAACAGAGCCAGAAGCACAAATCCTGCCTGCGTCTCCCGACAATCCCGCTCAAAATGCGTCGGTGCATGTAGCGAAGCATTCTCGCTCGAGGTGACGCTGCGCATGGCCTTCCACTTACATGTCCACGAGTGCAGTGTCTCATTCTGCGAAAACCCGCTCGGATATGTGGATTGCGGGAGATAGATCGCGAATGCCAGCCCGATTGCCGCAGCGATGAGGCCCGCGACTGCCGTTCCCGAGGCGAGGATGTTGAGACGCCGGATGTGGGAATGGGGCTGGTTATGTCAGTATGTTTCCAGTATTGCACGCACTAGCGAGGCAGCTCACAGAAGGGATGAGGACGGCGACGATGTAAACGAGATTGAGGAATGCGATCACGCAGCCACACGACAGAATAGCGATTGTTGGTCGGAGATCAAAGTTCAATGGCCACAGGGCGAGTCCTGCTTCTTCGTACCCGGAGGTGCTCCGGAAGTGCTGAAAGGGTACGGCTTCGCAGCCGACGATTGCAAGGGCAAAGCCGAAGCAGACCACGGACAGAGCCAGTTGTGCCCAGCGGAGATGGTAATTTCTTTTGAGGAAGGTTGATTCTTCGTGGTCCGAGGCGCAGGAGACGGTATATGAGGCTGCGGCTGAGCCTGGATGGGACGATCCGGCCTCCATTTTGAGAGTTAGGAGCAGAGTCAAGAACAAGGAAGGAATGTATCACTTCAGTAAATAGCAATGAACGAGGGGAAATGCAAAGACGTCTTGCCGGAAGACTGAAGTAGAATTAAAGAACGAAGTGATGTCCACCAGGGAGGCTACAACGATGAGGAGACCTAAGGAATCTGCGCACATTTAAGCATTATCACCTTCCATAAAACAATGAAACAATTCTTCGAACTCACTGACAAACCTATGTTCGAGCCCATCCTCTTTGCCGTCGAAACATCCCTCCATCAGCAGCCGCATAGCTGTAGCCGCCCAGCTGTGGAGGACGACCCTGATTCGTCGGACCCTGACCTATGACAGGGAATCCTGCAGAACTTCCATGAAGAACCTGTCTGAAGTGGATGGGAGCAGAGTCAATCTCAAACTCTTTTTCCCCTGGCGCGTAGAGATATGGGAAACTGTGTGATGGTTGTTGGGATTGGATGTTGGAGAGCACTGACCTTGAGCGCCACTGTGTCCTGGACTCCAGGTAGATAGCCCGGCGGTTCCCCAGTATCACATTGCGCGAGGAAATCAGTCCTCAAGTCTATAAAAAGGAGTATCTATCTGTCACTACAATGTCAAGGAATAGGGGTGGTGAAAAAATAAATGCCATTGTTCAATATGCACACTAAAATTACCATCACGTAGAAATTCATCAGCAAGGGGGAATCAATCACAATCATCATCAAACAGTAGATAAGTGCACCGAGGAAAAATTCGAATAAACCTTCCCAGTTTTTCGCGACGTGTAAAATCAGTCGTGGCCAGATACTCTTCGTCGCCAGTCTTCACCCGTGCGATGGACATCGACCACGTCAATCCGCTTGCCAATACCCGTCATTCCCTCCTTCTGCCACCACTTCTCACCCTTGTCTGCAAGTACTGATTCATCTTCGCTGTCGATTAGGCCGCCTCGACCGCCTTCGTCTCCAACTACAACCACGACCTGTCGGACCCAGCCAGAAATGTGTTGCACCGCATCACCTTGCTTGCCTGTCAAGGACTCCTGGACGTAGACAATGTCGGGCGAAAGATGGCGCACAAGGTGCACGTATCCTGTCGCAGTGCTAAACGGCATGATGGTGTTCTCCTTGTCGACAATGGCCTGCGCCTGCGTGTATAAAGTGCGGAACAGTGGTGTCGCGCCTTCCTGCTCATCAGCTGGGCGAGGTTCGAGAGTGGACAGGTCGCCGCTAGGTGCTTCGCCAGGAGATCTGGCCTCCTCAGGGGCAATGTTAGAATAGGACGATGTGACGGAGAGAGTAGGATTGGATGAGCCGCCCTGGTTGGGTGCATGCTTCAGGCCTGGCGCATAAATAAGAACGAAGATCTTTGCGGTCTCGGGGTCGATATGTTCAGGGAGGTGAGAGAGAATGGACTGTTCATAAATTGTCAGCGTAATCCATGACATCGGGTCAACAAGAACCTACCGCATGCTCAGTAAAGTCGTCAGGGTCGTGATTTGCCAACTCGGAGGAGACCACAATCGCTACTGTCTTCTTCTTTTTGTCGAGAGCAGGAGGGCCACTCACAGCGCTGCGAGTGGGAAGCGCTCCGCTCATGGCCGGAGCTGCTGCGGCAGGTTGAGCGTCTCCGTGAGTAGCCCTAGACCGAACCTCTTCGGACCATCGCGAGTGATCCTCAAAGTCACCGCGATCCTCCTCACGTATCGATGTGAGAGCGCTGCCCATGAATGCGCCCGCCGCAGCCATACCGGCCGCGACCCGTCTACTGGCCCCATCGAAGATCTGCTGAGGGCTCGGTGTGCGCCGCAAAGCACCCTGCATACGAGCCATCATACTAACATCGTCACCATGGATATCGGTCCCGGTCGACCTGGCATATCCGCCGTCAATGCCGGCTGGAATTCCCTCCGCGCCCGGCGGGGGGTACCGGTCATCCCTCGAGTCGTCCAGGGGGTATTCGCCTTCGTTATTATTATCGTCATCATCACTGCGTTCACTCCAAATCCACGCCGCTACGCCAATTGTTGCGATGCCGACCGTCAAAGCCAGAGGCACCCAGTACCCCATGACGGTCCGTCTCCCTGAGGAGCTGAAGCCGGTACCAGCTCCAACCCGCCGCCGACGAGCATCCTGGGAATATGGGAAAGACATTGCTCGCACTGAGAGGTGATAGATGGTGGGCGCATAGAAGTCAATCCAATCGCGATGGCGTACAATGATCACATCTCAAGATTGCTTGAGAGTGAAATAGGGTGGTTGGTTGACGGAGCAAGCAGGGAGGGAGTCGACCCCAAGGCTGGGCCTCGGACGAGCCGAGAAACATGTGGCTGGTGATGTTCTGTATACCGCGGTGTTTTTTCCCGCTTTGTTACCGGATTCTTACAGCATTACAGTACGCAGGGTCCTTACCTAAGGCACTTCAAGTGAGGGAATTGCTGTGTTTGCACTGTTTCGCCCGTTTGTTTATTGTCTATCGGCACGTGACAATACTTGTTATCAAGACTTAGGGCATCAAGTGTTTGTCTGATTTGCATTGACATGGCTGAGCTATCGGCACGTGACGGCGGGATTTTGTTCAACAAAAGATGAATACAATCTTCCGATGCATATCAGGTTGAGTCAGAGGGCGGACGGAAGACAGCACACTCGACTGGGTTTTACGGCTCGATATATATGATTTCCTGAAGACTCGGATAATATAGCCGGTTGTGCGCGCTTGAGGTCAGCGATATCGCATGAGATAATACGACGAGTCATCCTCCTCTCTTCCCCGCGGTGATCCTTTCACCCCAATCATTGGATCATTCTATACCAATCCTACAATCGAAATAACTCGTTCAGCCATAGGTGCTTGTAAGGCAAGCATGCCGCATTCGATTCCTGTGCCCCCGACGGGCTTTCAGGCCCTCATTTTGTGCGGACCTGGCGTCTCTCTCAACACATTCACCTCCAATCCTGAAGAATTTCCCAAAGCATTGTTGCCTATCGCAAATCGTCCTATGGTGTGGTATCCTCTGGATTGGTGCTATCGGATGGGCATAACAAGTGAGTAATTGCAAATCTGCGTTGAGTGCTACAAATATGCGCCTGCCCTAATATCGAGCACCGGTACTCTGGTCTAACCGAAGTCAAGATATCACTCTTATCACACCCCCCGCCAGTCAAGCTCCGTTAGAAGCTGCTCTCTCGCAAAATCCTCACCTTACATCTCTCCCGGCACCTTCACCTTCCGTTCTCGCTCCCGCAGACCTCACATTGACGACGGGTACTGCTGAGCTGCTTCGTCTCCCGGAAGTCCAGTCCTGCATCAAGTCCGACTTTCTCCTGCTCCCCTGTGACCTCATTTGCGATTTGCCCGGCGAATCCCTTCTTGAGGCATGGATGGTCACCCAAAGCGCCCTGGGCGGCTCTACGATCAGCGGCGGCTGGAACTCCAATGGACCAAAGAGCATTGGAATGGGTGGTGAAGAAGGCGGCCGTCGGGGCGGTCTCGGTGTTTACTACCAGACTAGGGGGCGGGAAGAGAGCGTCAAGGGCGAGGTGACAGATTTTGTGGCTACCACCCCGTTGGAGCAGGATGAGGCACCAGCCGTCTCTCATCCTTCGGATGGGCCTGCTTCGATCCGGTATGGGCTGTCAAAGCTAGTGCTCTCGATACCTATGGACACACTGAAAGAACAGATGGAAGAGCAAAAGGGGCTTCTCATCCGCCATTCCCTGGTGAAGAAGCACGCGCAGGTGAAGATGTTGACGACCTACCGCGACGCCCACATCTATGTATTTCCTTACTGGGTCAAGGAGATGGCTTTGCTGAATGAAAAGTTCGAGAGTGTCGGGGAGGATCTTGTTGGTTGGTGGGCTAAGGCCGAGTGGCAGACGGGTCTAGCGGAGAAGCTTCGACTGGGCGAGATTTTCGAGCCGGAGGGTCGTGGAGCCGGAGAGAGTGGCAGTCTGGACGGCGAGTATATCGAAGAGGAAATTGACCTCAAAGCGATGAGCACCACCAAAGTGGGAGCCGGCACATCACGCGACGCTTTGTCGGACGATCCCTCAGAGACCGTGCAATTTGCGTCTCGGGTGAAGAGATCCGGTACTGAATTGAGCACCGCGTCGCCGGAGACGTCCAAAGGCAAGCTCACCGTGCCCCCGATGCTGGCATATGTTCACTCCTCGCTGCCGTCTGCACCGGTGGTCAGGCGTGTGGATACATCGGCTCTGCTTCTGTCCGTGTCCCTCCGCCTTGCCAAACTCGAATCGATCGAAGAGGCCGGCCGCGTAGCTGCGTCTCCTTTCGCTCATAACCAAAAAGTCGCCTACCCGGCCGGCGTTGCTCAGCGGTGCACGGTCACCAAGGCCGACTGCCTTCTCGCCGATAACGTCACGGTGGAGGAAAAGTGTGTCATCAAGGAATCCGTCATTGGCGCCAACTGTCACATCGCCAGCGGTGCCCGCTTGACGCGCTGTCTAATCATGGATGGCGCCGTGATCGGTGAACGCTGTCAACTGACTGGCTGCATCGTGGGCCGGCGGAGTCAGATCGGCCGCGAGAGTGTGCTCAAGGACTGCGAGATCCAAGATGGAAACGTCGTCCCTGAGGAGACAGACGCGAAGAACGAAAAGTTTATGGTCTTTGAGGGATTGGATGACGAAGACGGCGAAGGAATGGACGTTTCCGAAGAATTCAGCGACGGCAACGATGAGCTAGGGTTTTGATTGACTTGGGCAACTGGCCTTGTGATGTTACGAACTCTATGTCTTGATGTCCAATGACGGCATAGATGCCTGATATTGACGATACCGCTACGTTATAGAAAAGAATTGATTCAGCCAGTCTGACCTCCGGGTAAATCTCAATTTCTAGGCCGCCGCCGTTCCGATCCAAAAGCAATGGTATCATAGCCTCCCAACGCCGTAAAAAAAAATCACCCATGCGCCCGCACATGGTCATGGTAGTATGCTCAACGAGCAGACAACATCTATCCCACCCCACCTCACTCCTCTCGCTTGTCCCTCCTGCGCTGCCGTTCGCCCCGCGCCAACGGCGACTTCCCAATCGACACCATCTCCTGCCTTTTCTTCCCATTCCTCCGCTGCGTAATCCGCCTCACGAGCATGGCATGCGGCATCTTATGCGTATCCCGCGGCGCACGCGGAGAGGAAGCATCCACTGACTCCCCTCGCCGATCTCTTCCCCTTCCCGCAGGAGCGCAAGACGAGCCGTGATCCACTGCGATCGGTGTCGTGAGAGGCGCATATGGCACTAGATCCGTCACGCCTTGCACCTGGTCTCGAGCTTCGTTCCAGTCCCAGTCCCAGTTGCCGTCGACGTCGCGGGCAGCAAGATCGCTCGCCCGTCCGGCTTCCAGCAGTTGCTGAGGTGCGGGCTCAAATGCAGGCGTAGGCGTAGACACTTGCTCGGTTTCAGTCTCGGACCCGGACCCCGACACGGACCCTGTTGAATAGTAGTAGAATCCCGCCGAGGGATGCACATTCCGCCCCTCCCAGTTCAACCCGTCCCAGCTCGCCATCGCCGTCGGCGTCGGCATCGGCGTAGGCATCGGCATATTCGACTCTGCGCGCCACCCGTGCGCCTCTGGATCTGCATTTGGATCAAAGTCCAGGTCCAGGTATAGGTTTAGGTCGAGAGCCTGGACGGCTAGCCGAGACTTTTCCGCCAGGGCGTCGATGTATCCGTCCCCCTGGTCGTAGGCTGCTCTTTCTGGGCCGGGCTGGTCGAACCGTTTGTGGTCGCCGCGGGCGAAGAATCTGGCCACCATGTCTAGGAAGCCTGGTTGCGTGACGGAGACGTTGAGGATGGAGGCGAGGGTTTGTGCGGTTAGGAGACTCTGGTGAGTGGTGAGGGTTTGTTTGTTCGGGGGGTATGCTTGTCTGCAGAGGGGGCAGGGGTCGCCGAGGAGGGCGGTTGATGTTGGTTCTGTGGTGTGGGATGGGAGGTCCTGGAAGGGACAGGTGAGGGTCATGGGGATGAGGTGGTCGCAGTTGTGCCAGAAGATGGAGAGGTGGCACATTCTGCTGTATAGAGACCCGTGGGAGAGGTGGTGAGCTGCCGGTGAGGACTTGGGAGCAGAAGGGGGCTTGTTGGTAGTATTTGTATGCTCTTTGATGATGGTGCGGTGGTCTTGAGGCCATTGTGCGCGGCGTTGTTGTTGAGGGTTGGTATGAGGAAGATAAAGGGAGATATTTTGCAACCGGTGGACAATGAGGGTAACTGGGAGTGATGTGTTGCTGAGGATAAAGAGAGAGTGAGGTGTATCATGCTCTGGTGTGATGGTCTCTGTGGTTGAGGTTGCTTTGTCTCGTCTGTTTCAGCTTCAGTCATGGTTATTGTTGAGCGGTCATGACAATGAAATTGATAAAGCATCTGGTCTGAGCAAGAGATGAGTGTCAAGTCTTTGTCTCCTGCTTAATTGGTCACTCGACATCTGCATTGTCAGCTTCGTCTATCAGCGGCTTTGAATAGCATCCTTATTGAGATCTTTGAAAAGGGTGGTCTGATCATGCTGTCTCTTGCCTCAGTGCCATCCATATCTAGAAGAAGATACTTTTATCCATTTCATGATTCACTCCCCTCCCTATACCTGCAAAAACATTGATGGACAAATCATTGGACATATCTCATGGCTACGGTAACGGTATCACTGTTAGATATACTGTTGCAAAGATGTATGACCAAGACTGGTGTAGTAAGGATTACCATAAAAGGTAATAAAGCATCTAGTGACAGTGGTGCGCACCAACACCAAGCATAATCAGGGTATCCAGGTCAAGCTTTCAGCATGAGAACGCCTTCAAGCAAAAATAAGCAAATGCTAGCTCTTTTAGAAATTAGACCAGCAGATCGAGTCTCTCTATTACATCAGTTCATGCTGACATGGACATGGACATTCTAGAACCTGGAGGCAGTCAGTCTAGACTCGAATATCAGTGGTGGTCAGAGCAGACCTCTATGTACGGAGTACTCTTACCTAGCATAAAAGATCAATCTTCTGACGATCGACTCGTAAGTGCGGATTTCTTGATGCTGGTGACTCTGTACTCTGGATCTCACATCACTGTTCCTCTCCCTATTTTTAGAATAATGCATGTCTTGCCTTGTATATCAAAGGTATACGCAATCAGAGAACAGAGTTCCCGTGAATGTTCTGTGGGTCTCGTCTACCGAAAATGCATCTGATGCTGGCAAGACTCGATTTTCGTATGTCACTTTTTCAGCAAGACTGGAGTTCTCCTCTTCTCTACAGAGACATCAGTAAAAAAAATACAAGATGCCCCTCTAGTGATGAATCTCCCGTTGCGATGACAGACAACAAAGGCACAGACTGAGTCCCAAGACAGATACCTTAATACTCCGTACTAAGATAAGAAACAGTCTTCAAGCAACAACCCCGCTTGGTGGACTTTCCCATTGCAGCCACCTGCAGACGAGACCAACCCAGAGTCCGGATGAATCAATCGCTTAGCTAGATGTTGCCTGGGGCTACTACTCTAACAGTTGAATTAGGTGTATTTATCTCTGGATTCGGAGCAGGGGCCTCACAAATGAGATTGGGAGAAATGTGGATTAAGAATGAGCATGATCCTAGCTGACTAGCACTTGGTCTGCTTATTACTTTCATTAAAGGTCATCTGACAACTGTCAAGTACAGACGGAAGCAGAGTGGTATTTTGGTTCGTTGATGGGCAAAAGTACGACTGTTCGGGGTTTAGTGTTGTTCTTGTTCACCCTGGAGGAACACGGTCGATCTTATCTCGGCGCCGAAGGAATTTCGACAGTTTCATATTGAGTTCTTGACAGTTGTGTACTCAAGGTTTCCTTGACAGGTGTCTATAGAGCATATAATATAATTCAAATTGGAATGTGTCATTTACATTGGCCTTGATCCTCAAACTAAAGGAGATCATTTCTGTTAAATTCTTAGACTAGAGGAGTGAGTTTCAATCTCAATCAAACCATCAGCTGGGTGCCTGGGTGCCTAGGTGCCTGGGCCTCGACCGGGACTCGGAATCTGCGGGCGCAAGTTCCTTGATTTTGCTGAATCCACTAGAATTAGGATAGACATTGTCCACTCTAGGAATGCCTCGAATCTTCCATTATTATCGCCTGATCATACGGTATCTATTGTCTGATGAAAAGTATAGCATTGTATGTTGATTATGGTTGATGAGAAGATAATACCTTGGCCCATAGCCAACTAAGTCTGACAGTGTCACCGTTCTCCACAATCTGTTCCCCAGATATTATGCGCCTCTTCGAATCCCTCGAGAGTCAAGACTCTAGTGCTGCACTCCATGTGTCCACTTAGCTGGGATTATGATCCATCAATACCTGGTCTCAATAGTCAGCATCTACTAACTTTTAGTGTTTGTCATTGCGCACTTACCGCTGGCCTACATAACCATAACCAAAGGTACATACCCGACAGATACCTTAGCCAACGGTACTCTGTACGTTGAATGAGGGGAACGGCACAGGCCATTGGACGGCAGCACTGACCGTCGCAGTCTATGACTAGGACACTCTCCAAGCAAGGTACCCAAGGCTATTGACAACTGCCCTTGACCTCGGGCCCTATCATGTGTCTGACGTTCCTGGATCGATCTAGACGAGTGATGCAAGGAACATGGACGCGTTGTTTTCTTGCTTGTCTATGTCACTCAGTCAAGTACTCAAGTCAGGTGTAAGCATAACATCACATGTCTACCGAATATTTATGAAGTATCATGGTTCATTCATCTCCTCATGCTAGTGGGTTATGTCTACCATTCTTTGGCCTTATTATTTTCTAGTGACTATCTAGATACCAGGCTAACGGTAGTTTTTGACTTCGGCCTGGTTTTGATCCGCCATAGCCGCATCAGGCAAATTTACAGTCACCTGGACCCGAGTAATGATCCCCTTCTTCTCGTTTTCGTATTCGCTATTGCTGTGGTTGTTAGTCTGTCATTATCGATACGAGGATTGAAAAGTCTCTGATGATTCAGATGGTCTTTGTACGGTGACGAAAAAGATGATTCGAGGTTTGGCTATGAACCATGCTAATTATATTTGCTATCTTCCCCGCAAAATATATCACAACCGGATTACATTCATGTCTTCGTGATCTTAACAGGGTTAGAAGGCAAATATCTCTCTCCATCTAGAGCAGGAGAATATCTCTCTGTTCGGCATAGACTGGCATCAGATTTTCATACCCGGTATGCTGCTGATTTACTGTGTATATCCACACAAGTACCAAGTAATTCCGCAACACAATAGACAGTTAAATGGGACTCTGATACCAGAGGCATTGAGCACATGAGGCAATCGAATTGACCATCGGGATGCCATGCAGATGAACTGTACCCCTGGCGCAGGATTGACGGTTAGACCTGAACTTACCCCTCAAAACATGGAAGAATTAGTAGTGACGATCTTGATATTTCACTATGTGTCTAACATGTCATAGATTAACATAATGACAATGACACCGAGTTTAAGCTTCTTGGAAATAATCAAGTAAATCATGCTGTGGCGTCAACAGATCATATTTCACAATTCACACAGTACTTCACCAAGAGTAAGCGGTTAGAATGAAATCATGATAACGATATCCATCAAAGACAGTACGTACACCATATGTGGATATGGATGATTGACACCACTCTGAATTCTGAAACCGGTTGATTGTCATGATCGCCCGCCGCCACGGGATACTTACCCCCAAAGCACGAATAAAAATGCCTGAAGCGACTGTCGATCGCGCGGGAACTCCTTACGTAGATCTGCGGCCATATTTGCAACTATGCTGGATGTGGATGGGTGATTGCGTGGGTTTTTCACCAACTTATCAAATAGATAAGCAGTGAGTGACTTGGTCTGGAGATGAGGATTATCGGGGTGATGTATGTTGGTTGATCATAATCAGACTCTTATCGAGGATGTTGGCCATGGTGATAGGAGCTTGGATTTGATTTATTTGGTCCATGCTTGTGCTGTGAGGGTCTGTAGTCTGTACTCTGTAACAAAGTCTATGGAGCGGTAAGGTGTCTTCTTATGAGATAGGGGCAAGTGCTTTGTGGGCCTGAAACAAGATTGAGTCAAGCATAGTTTAATGAATTTTAACGGTCTATTGTTGTCAATTGTGTCTGCTAGATGGATAGTATCACAATCTGACAAAAATGATCAGATTGAAGATCCGAAGCATGTCGGCAATACTACCTACTAGACTTCCCATTCCAATGCATTAGATGTGTAGCTCTTGCTCCAGAGTAAGGTACACTCAGGGGAGATGATATACAGAGTAATGTGTTATGTAATTACCTAAGCAAGCACAAGGCCATCATTGCCAGTTCCCCGGTTCAGTGTGGATCAGGTCAAGAAATACGATGTTAGCGATGGGCACTATCTGCTTATGGATGTAGGTGAGTCTCAACATCCTTCATATTCGCGGTGACTTGCCCATCGAGCATCTTAATGGACTGACGATAAGAAATTTCTGACATGAGACGGGTCATGAGGATCAGTATGGACGGGAGATCTGAAACTGGATGGATCTGAATCTGATTACTGAATACTGAATGGTCAAGGGCGCCAGAGCCTCAAGCATCCAGGACAGTAGCAGCCTAACGGGTCAGAATTCAGAATTGGTCTGGCACACTTGCATGCAGTGATACGAGCTCAAAGAAGTGGAGACTGGAGAGTATGCTTTTGCTAGCTATTAGCTCTCAGCCTCATCAAATAGCCTTCCTGAGACTCGAGAGGCATCGGATCGATTCATGTTCATCGCAGCTCCAGCCTTTCCCAAGCTTCAGCCGACAATCAGTTAGTTTCCAAATTGACAGCAGCGTACCGCCTCTGCAGATGGATTGGGAAATTATCTAAGAAGACTTCAAAATGCCCTTCCAGTCCGTATCGACATGACTGACATCATTGGGCATATTCTCTGGTAACTTCTCCCTGCCAATGTCATTAGCTCTTTATCATTGCCATGGACCATGGTACCAAACCGAATCTGCTAGGTACAAACTT